ATCCGTGGTATGATTTTGCAGGCCAAGGAACAACTCACAGGTAGGATCATGTTTATGACAAGTATTGTTTATCTTTGTCATGGGAGAATGAAAAGTTAATGGGTTGATAATATTTGAAATATGTAATACAACATTGTTGTATGCTTTTTATAACAGATTTGTTGGCATGTCCCACTTGATATTTGTGTTATCTTTCCAAATAGGTCATCCAAAACAACCCAAAAAGCCACTTATCCGTCTTCGAGTTGTATATACAGATGAGTCTCAGATGTTCAACACAGCCAGATTTGCCACAAGTTTACAGAAGATGTTGCAAATCCCAATGAAATGATCTTATTCAAAAAAGAACGTAAAAGAAAAAAGAAAAATGAGACTGGTATTGATAAGGAGGCCATGGATGCAGTTTTTGCTGGTGAAGATGTAAGCTTAGTGTCTGTTCTTTGGTACCTGTGAAAAATAAGGGTCTAATTGTTTTCTCAGAAATATTTGTGTGCAGCAGAATGTTTAATATGAAATGACTAGTGATCTTTCAAATTTTTTTTAGTGTTAGAGTTCATAAATAAATGTTTGTATATCTTTAGGTTGCAGAGACAAGAGTGGAGGATCTTGTGGAGCAATATTTTTCAGAGCTGCAGGATTACACACAGAAGCTATTCTTACTCTCGGAGCGAGGTTTAGCAAAGGGGGTAAACACCTTTGTCGAGAAAGATGACAGAGATGCCATCAGCACTGTTTTTCAGTAAGATGCGAGTTCTCATTAACTTGAGCACTTTTATTTTCTTTGATGGTAATAGTAACATATTTACTTTGTGGATCAGAGATTGATATTTATATAGTTGTTTACTGCAATAAATGGAGAGCTTTTATAATGTGAAGGATAATCTGTACATTAACATTATTATTAAATAAAAGTACTGTATTGAGGTGGTGTTGGTAACTTGTTATGAGCCAGTTTAACTGATAGGCATATTCTTTTTGACAGGCATCAAGTTAAGAAGACTGTGGACCACATTTTATCCGGAGATGGAGATATTGATGAGGAAAATATTTTGGATGCAATTATCACCTATCGAGAAGAAAGACTTACAAAGAATAATCCGCAGTTGGAGGAACAAGAGGTATTGCGCATGCATGTCCGCATACCACATACACATGTACACGTCAAAACACACACACACACACACACACACACACACACACACACACACACACACACACACACACACACACACACACACACACACACACACACACACATACACATACACACATACACACACACACCACACACACACACACACACACACACACACACACACACACACACCACACACACACACACACACACACACATACACATACCACACATACACACACATACACACACACACATACAACATTGCATATACACATACACATGCACATACACAACACACAATGTCCACCCACACACACACACATACAAACACACACACATGTCCACACACACACACATGTCCAACACACACACATGTCCACACACACACACATGTCCACACACACACACACATGTCCACACACACACACATGTCCACACACACACATGTCCACACACACACACACACACAGTCGCACACACACACACACAACACACACACACACACACACACACACACACACACACAACACACACACACACACACACACACACACACACACATACACACATACACATACTCACATACACACACAGATACACACACACATACCATGCACATACACATACACATGCACATACACACACACATGTCCACACACACACACACATACACACAGCACACACATGTCCACAATCACACACACATGTCCACACACACACATGTCCACACCACACACATGTCCACACACACACACATGTCCACACACACACACATGTCCACACACACACATGTCCACACACACACACACACACGACACACACACACACACACAACACACACACACACACACACACACACACACACACATACACCACACACACACACACACACACAAACACACATGTCCACAGACACACACACATGTCCACACACATGTCCACACACACATGTTCACACATACATGTCCCACACACCTACACATACACACACATGTCCACACACACACATACCTACACACACACACACACTCACACACACAACACACACACACACACACATACACACACACACACACACACACATCAACACACCTACACACACACACACCTACACACAACACACACACCTACACACACAACACACACCACAGACAACACACACACCACACACACATGTCCACACACACATGTTCACACATACATGTCCACACACACCTACAACATACACACACACCACACACACACTACACACACACACACACACACACACACACACACACACACACACACACACACACACACACACACACACACATAACACACACACACACACACCTACAACACACACACAACCAACACTACACACACACACACACCTACACAACACACACACACCTACACACACACACACACCTACACACACACACACCACACACCTACATACACACACACACACACCTACACACACACACACACACACACACACACTACACACACACACACATACTACACACACACACCTACACACACACACACAACCTACACACACACACACACACACACACCTACACACACACACACACACACACACAACACACACAACACACACACACACACTACACACACACACACACACACACACACACCACCTACACACACACACACACACACCTACACACACACACACACACCCACACACACACACACACACACAACACACACACACACACAACACACACACATACACACACACACACACCTACCACACACACACACCTACACACACACACACCTAACACACACACCTACACACACACACACACACAACACACAACACACACCTACACACACACACACACACAAAACCACCACACACACACACACACACACACACACACACACACACACACAACACACACACACACACACACACACACAACACACACACACACACAACACACACACACACTCCTACGCAACATACCAGCTACACATACACACACACATACACAACACACACTATACTCACAACACCACACAACAACACACACAACACACACACACACAACACACACACACACACACACACATACACACACACATACACACACAACCCATACACTACATACACACTACACATGCACACACACATACATAAACACACCTACATACACACACACTAACACACACACACATTCATGCACATGTGCAATCATTTGCCAAACCAGACCAGTTCTGATAGGATCAATTGCTTACTGTAGCGTTCCTTATTATAGGCACAAGCAGCCTTAAGTAGTACAACAAGAGAGAGAAGAAGAGTTAGTGATGATGATGATGCGATATGGATGACATTGATGTGGATGACCTCAGCCCTCCGCCAGCTAGGTATGCTCTACTGTTTCATAAATGGGTGTCCTGTTTAAAATGGAAATTTCACATTTTTGTGCTTAAGGAGTCTATTACTTATGGTAGGTAATGTAGTGTATCAGAATCTGCAGCTGTTTTCCTTTTCAGAGAAGAGGATCGCGAGGAGGTCGTGGACGAGGCAGTAGAGGGTCCCGTGCTAGGCAGCAAGCTCGTCAGCTAGCACCACTCAGACATCAAGCAAAATCAGTTGTCGATGATTGGGTGCATATCTTTGGATTTTAAGTTTTAGAATTTGCACATTGTATTGTGAAAGGGAGGGTTGTGCACAATATGGCATATTATGATTTGTGTATAGACAAAAAAATGTAATATATATTTGCCTTTATTCACATAATGTAAGCTTAATAACCATGCTCTCTTTTTTTTTTAGTGATGGTTCTCCTAAGGTATCACAATCTTACCAAGGGCACGAAGCTACACGAGGAGAGAAGCAGAAGGCAGCGGTAATATATTTATCTATTTGTTATGTTGCTTGAAAAATTACCTATATATCATTTGTCTGTACAAATATATTTATCATTCTTTCATTATTTACCTTTTTCCTTTAATGGTTTTAATTCTCATTTTTACAGACAAGAAATCAAGTCATGGAATCATTTTCTCGGGCCAGAACTGCTGCTTCAAGTCGTAAAGGAATTGTCTATGACAGTGATGATGATTAGTAGATCAGTTCCAGCTATGAATTGTTCACATTAGATATATTAGTATTTCATGACAAAGTGATATTTTATGATTATTGTTTGTTCCACTCATGCATTACATGAACTTCAAGAGATTTTTTTTTTTAACACTTACAAGGAAATGAACCTCTGGTTTGTACATATATTTTTTATTATGGTTTACATATTGCTATTGTCTGGATATTCCATGGTGGCAGTACAAGACATGAATCTTCCTACTTTTGTGTGATGTACTACTATTACCACTAACAAAGCATGACAAAAAACCTGTCACCTCTGAATGTAGGTATGGCCAATATTCCATCATGTAGCATCAGTTGTAATTGTATATCAGCCAAAAGCAGGAAGAGAGTTGTCTCTTGTATTTTGTATAACTTCTTATATTCTTTGAATTTTTAATTTCTCTTTACTCTTCTCTCTTTTTAGTTTATTTCTTTCTTCTCTGCTTCCTTGTTTTCATCCTCCTCTTATCCTCTTTCTTAATATCATTTCTTATTGTAACTTTTGTGATTTCATTCTGAATGAGAATTAAGAAGTAATGAATGGTAATCATTTCTGAATCAGTATTGTTGATTATATTTCTCTGTTACTATCCTTAACATAATTGTGATATTTGACCATATGGTTGTCTTCATTAATAGATTTTGAAAATATCATGGTAGTTGATGTAAAGTGTAAGGTACAGAGATGCTCAGAAATAATGAAGATTTTTTTTTTATGAAAATTACTGATGATTGTATTTTCAGTAACTAAGT